GGGAACCAGAATAAGAACGCCGATGGACTGAGCCGTGGATTTTAGAGTCGAACACTGATTTTCTTGTTGCTGTTTCTTTTTTTACTGATGTGTTTCTATCGCGGCTGAGGTCACGGCATTTAGATTTTTTTCCAAGGGCTGACCACCACAAAAAAAAAAAAAGAAAGAAAGAGAGGGCAATCATGGGGTAAAATTATGGCAGTTTTGGCGTCCGGTGGGCGTGTCGCTCGGGCACGCCGACCAGAGTGTGTGTGCTTGTGTTGTGTATCCCTGGAACAGGGTTATTGGTGATGCGAGTGCTGAGGCCCAGAGAGGCCGAGTGTTTGCACATGTCGTCTCGACGCTTCAGGTGACCCGACAGTTGGCCACCCTCGAGTCGAGTCTTTCGGCGGCGGAGGAGTCTGTTGCGTCCCGCTGCCAGTGACGTCTTCGAGGCGAGCGCGATGTCGCCGCCACTCAGTTCCGCGAACGCAGCGACTGTTGAGGCTGACCATTGTGTCGCGGGACGGTGCGCTGGCGCCACGGCTGGGCCCTGCGGAATGCGGCGGCGGTTTCGGGGAACGAAAGATTCGTCGCTGCTTCTTGGAGGGATGGGTCCACCCGGAACAACTGAGCATAGAGCTGAGGGGAAGTCGGGTTCCGGGTGGACGATTCACCCCCTTGATCCCCCCTCTTACTGCGGGCCGCCCCTGCCTTTCGTGAAGTGGACTGATGGACCGAGATAGAGGGAGAGGGGCGGCAACGAGAGGGATAAAAAGGACGGAGGAGACGGCGGGCGTAGAAGGGGGAACAACGATGACCAGTTAACTTTTCTTTGAATGCAAATAAATCCCTTTTTTCAAGTTTCCTAAATGGACGTCCTGCTTTCATGACCTGCCTGATCTTGGTCATCCCACCCAATCTACCCCGACGACGCTACAATCTGTTAGCATTGTCTACGATTGACGTATACGCTTGAAAACAGGTGCGTCTGTGCATTCGACGTTTCGTGACCTTAAATGTTAACTTAGCGTCGCCTTCTACAAAAATAACAAAACTCTCGTTGAACAGCTCAAAATGGCGGCACCCACATCTCTTAAGCCAAATAGTCGGTACACAGCTCTCAGGAAGCCCACTCTTAGGTACGGCATGGCGGCGGCGAACGGCTCCTGACACCAAAGGTTGCGGGTTCGATTCCTGCAGCGACGATCGCATTTCAATAAAGGCGAACTGCTAGAGAGGCTCGCGTACTGGTGCGAGATCACCAGATGGCTGAAATTTTCGGAGCCCTCCCATACGGCGTGTCTGATCGTTATGATTTTTGCGGCCGCGCGCCACGGTGGTCTAGTGGCTAAGGTAGTCGGCTGCTGACCCGCAGGTCGCGGGATCAAATCCCGGCTGCGGCGGCTGCATTTCCGATGGAGGCGGAATTGTTGTAGGCCCGTGTAATCAGATTTGGGTGCACGTTAAAGAACCCCAGGTGGTCAAAATTTCCGGAGCCCTCCACTACGGCGTCTCTCATAATTAAATAATGGTTTTGGGACGTTAAACCCCGCAAATTAATCATCAATCATGGTTTTTGCGTGCGCAACATAAACTATTATTATTATCATCATTATGAGCGACGTGCTTTCTTGTATCCAAGTCATACTATCTGTTTTCCCTTATCCAGTTTCTCAGTGCTAGGATGATATGTGGGGTTTAACGTCCCAAAACCAGCATATGGTTATGAGAAACGCCTTAGTGGAGGGCTCCAGAAATTTCGACCACCTGGGATTCTTTAACGTGCGACCAAATCTGAGCACACGGGCCTGCAGCATTTCCGCCTCCATCGGAAATGCAGCCGCCGCAGCCGGGATCCGATCCCGCGACCTGTGCATGATTTAGCAGCCCAGTACCTTAGCCACTATAAACCACCACGGCGGTGCTCAGTGCTAGAATGATCTAGTATAATAGTTAAATTAGAGACTGCACTGACACGCTGCACGCGTATTTCATTTTCCTCCTCCCGGTAACCGGCCTAAACAGGCTAAAACTGCTTGACACGTGTTATAGCTCGGGGCAGGTCGCACGTGGCTCTATCAGAACCACGACGGGCGTTATCGATTGTTCGGATTCTTGCGTGCGGGACGCCAACGTTTGAGCACATTCTGACACATACGCGCGAGCACCAATCGATAACGCTTGAGTATGCGACGAGGCATGCGCAAAAAAAACGACGTGCTTCTCCTAAAAATGCGAATATCGACGACCGTGCTTGCGGCTATTTTTTTTTTTTTTGTACTGGCAGTGTTTTGGTTAGCTCCCTGGGCGCAACCTCGCCAAATAGTAGTTTAGTTTTCACAGGTTTAACTGCTGCTTATCTCACCGTACCAACTGCGTGACGATATAAAATGAACAACAAACTAAAAGCGTGAGGTGGCATGCGTAATCCAACGTTCATAACAATTTTGTCTAGGCACGCCATCCAATTACATTCGCTCAACCCCACCTCGGGGATTTGATTGATATGTGGGGTTTAACGTCCCAAAACCACTATATGATTATGAGAGACGCCGTAGTGGAGGGCTCCGGAAATTTAGACCACCTGGGGTTCTTTAACGTGCACCCAAATCTGAGCACACGGGCCTACAACATTTCCGCCTCCATCGGAAATGCAGCCGCCGCAGCCGGGATTCGAACCCACGCCCTGCGGGTCCCTCGGTGGTCTAGTGGCTAAGGTGGTCGTCTGCTGACCCGCAGATCGCGGGTTTGAATCCCGGCTGCGGCGGCTGCATTTCCGATGGAAACGGAAATGTTGAAGGCCCGTGTGCTCAGATTTGGGTCCACGTTAAACAGCCCCAGGAGGTCGAAATTTCCGCAGCACTCCACTACGGCATCTCTCATAATCACATAAAGATTTTGGGACGTTAAACCCCACATATCAATCAATCAAGTCAATTACATTCGCTCATCAACGGGACGTCCAGCAAATTTACGTTTTTTTGGTACAGTTACTTTTGTCGTATGTATCTTCGTGTCGGTGGGTTTAGATGAATGCCTTAAGCTATTGGCATTGGCGTAGCAAGGGAGTGTTTCTGGGTCTGAGTAGTCAAAGACCCTTCCCCCCCTCCCCAATCTCTTGCCGCGGGAAATATTTTATTAATTTTGCATATGTAAAAAGGCACACAAGCGCACATAGAAACACGTTCCACAGGCACAATTAGTTTGATTTCCCCACTCCATGAAAATTACCAGCGGCAGCTTTTCGGAAATCTCAGGACGGCTATACCTTTTTGCAACGGTATTCCACCTTCCCCTACGGGCTGATCACCTGTCTACTCTGATTAAAACGTTTCTTATTCTAATTTCTATAATTACTGAAGTACGTAGTATCTCTTGTGATATTAAGAATGGGTCGCCAGAGAAACATTAATTTTAAAGGACGCAAAGAAAACATTGCACTTCTCTTATTTTTGGTCATTTTCGAACATATCTCATGAAACAAGTGATATACATGGAACACATGAAACTGGCCTTGCCAGTATTGGAAGCCGAAAATAATATATTGGAGGGACTAGAGCACATATCCAGACCAGCTAGACATTTAAGGCATACATTCCATTTGTACGAACTCCTTGCATACATATTTATCAACTCAGAACGTGTCCTAACGCTTCTTCGGCATGCCTTCTGCAGGCTGTGTGTAGCAGTGAATACTGAGGCGAACGCGGTAAGAGTTATGAAAATTGGCGAAAAAAGAAACTAAGCTCATTAGTCCTCAATCTCCATAGCCAGCGCACACGATGAGAAAAAAAAGCGTTCCCTTCCACATTTCCCTTTGCCAGTGACGTCACTGGTTGCTTTCAATCACTGTGCGTTTCTAATAGAGATATACCAAAAGTTTCTCCTCGTGGCGGCAATGGCCCAGTGTATCTAGTGTCATGTTGCGATTATTTTCAGAATATGCTATTTAGAAATAGAATTCCTTTGTATCTGAAGAAGCACACCTAAGGTATTTATATTTTAGTGCACAGTATAGTGTCGCCTGCTTGGATCAAAACGAAAGTTCCGGGCAATTCGATTTAGAGTAGCGACTGACGTCAGTATGACAAAACGTCACTTTCGATGTCAAAAACCCCCGTTGAGCGTCACTAGAGTCGGAGCAGATGCTGGTATCTCTCTTGAAATAAAGAAGCTACATATATGTTAATTTCGACACCACGATATCGCCTCATTCCATAGTATCATAAGAAGAGACTAGAACAACACGCTTAAGTTGTGTCGCAGAGCCACATGAAATACTAGGGAAGCTTCAGGCAGTGTAAACAGGGAACTAACTATAGAATATTGTCACGCACTACATCATTGATGAGATTGCGTGTCCTTGCTTAAGACGTAAACAGGACACTTGCGTATCAATTATTCGGAAGGACACGATATGCAAAAAAAAAAAGAAAACTCATTCTACAGCACACGTTCATGCAAGGATGCCGTATATTTCTTCATTTTTCGTTTTAGACGCTTTATGTCACGAAAATCGGCAGGCGACTGAAAATAGAGAACTTGTTTTTCGTTTATTTTAAGCCAGCAGGAGGCAGGCTGTCAGACAGGCGTTCACTGGGCTGAATATGAGTGCTACCACCGGACAATGCAAAGCACTTACCTAAACTCGTGATAACGAGCCCACATGAGAATTAAGACACATATTCCTGTCTATCATTCGTACCATCGAAAATAGAGAGCTATGATGTCTGAAGAGGAGATCAATCATAATGTAATATCAAATGGTTGTTAAACGATACGTCGCCGAAGTAACCAGGGACCTCCTACAATACCGTATAACAATATATATCGCTTAACTGGCTGAGAAATGCAAGACAGTAATGAATGTATACAGTACACGGCTAATTAGCTAAAGTGAGCTAAATGATTTGCTTCAGCAGCCCGTTTCAAAGCGATTGCCATCACAAATCACCATCAATCATTATCGATGTAGATAATTGCTATGCGGAATACCTATAGGCCAGACTCACCTCGGATAAGTCGAGACGAACGCAGGAGCATCGGACACATCACCACCGCCGAACCGGAGCCACCCCCGAAAGGCACAGTCAGAGCACCTCGGCGTGCCTCTTCATGTGCAGCGAGAGGTGGTCCGACCGGGAGAAGGCCCTGTCGCACAGCCGGCACTGGAAGGGCCGGTCGCCCGTGTGCTTGCGGTAGTGGCGCGTCAGTTCATCCGAGCGAGCAAACTTCCAGCCGCAACCCTTCCAGTTGCACTGGTAAGGCTTCTCGCCCGTGTGAGTGCGCAGGTGCGCCTTGAGGTGCGAGCTCTTGGAGTACGTCTTCGAGCATCCGGGGTAGGAACAGGTGTGCACGGTCACCTTCTTGGGACCGCGCGACCGGCGGCCCCGGCGGGGCTTGGGCGCCGCGGCCGCGACGGGCACCACACTGGGACCGGGGTAGAGTGCGGAAGGAGGCACCACTAGTCCGTCGTGCTGGAGCGGGGACGGAGGCGGCGTCGGCACCCTACCCTGCCCGAAGCACGCCCCGATCGCGGGCGGTGGCCTCAGCGGGTTGCCGCACGGAGGACCGTAGCGAGACGAGTCCGGCACGGATCCGCACCACTGGGGAGGGTAGGGACACCGCGCCGCGGCCAGGTAGCCCGAGCACTTTGAGGGCGCGGGCCAGGCGTACGGTGCCGGGTAGGCGGGCGGCGGTGGTATGGACGACGAAGGGGAGTCGGTGCCTCCGCAGCCGTAGGGGTGCTTCGAGTCGGCCACGGTGAGACCGAGGTCTTCGAGGAGATCGGGACGAGGCGGCGCCGTGAAGGCGGCCGCGCCGGCGAGGTGGTGCTGACCGGGACCACCGCCGCCTCCACCGCCGTGGTGGTATCCGGGGCCCGGAGCCGAGGGCGGAGGCAGGGTCGGTCGCCGAGGGGGAAGAGGGCTCGGGCCGCGGGGCTCGGGGCTGAAGCCAGGCGCCATGTCGCCCAGCAGGACGCTCTCAATGTCCTGCCACATCTGCGAACAGAGACACAGGGACGTGTGAGAAGGATTCTAGGCTGGTCGTGATAAAAACGTTTCCAAGTTGCAAAAGGAAGCACGTAAATGGTGAAGATAGAAAATGGGATCACTAGCATCTCGCAAATATTGAGAAAACGCTACGGATTCCCGATGGCTATGGGACCCAAAGCCTCCCCAAATAAAAAAAAATACCTGAAATGGTACCAGGGCGATAAGTCATACTATATGCCGTGATGCAATGCCTCATTCGTCGCGAGGAGGAGAAGAGAATAAACATATGAAAACAAAGAAAAAACGATAAGTGCATGGCATAAGTTCTCAGCGAAGTACACCACAAATAAGGGTCCCTTTGTTCCCGTCTGATCAGATCGTACGTGTCTATGAATGAATGCAATAACGTTTGCCAACGACGACCAAATGCAGATGGAGGAGAGACGCATGAACAACGTTGTTCTTCGAGTTAGGTGCCACGCTGAACAACACCAGGCAGTCTACATTGATTCGGAACCCCTTACGCACATTATAAACATATCGTGGTTTTGCAAGTAATGCCCCAGCAATTATTATTATTATTATTATTATTATTATTATTATTATTATTATTATTATTATTATTATTATTATCGCAGCAACTACAATAAACATGGCGAAAAGACGCTTGGTTTTAAGTAGTGCCACCGTACATTCACATTTCCTAAACAAGAAATTATTATTTATTTATTTATTTATTTATTTATTTACAGGTACCTTACAGGCCCTTGGTTAGGGCATTGAGTAAGGGGGGCTAACAAAGACATGTACAACAAGTAAAGGGCGAAAGGTGCCAAAACGTAAGCTCGAGACATGAGTAACAAATAAACAAGAAATAGTAAGTATAAATTGACATCATACATCGTTACCAAAAAACTAGAAAGATGCAGTTCGTGGCACGCAGCAGTTAGGAAGTGTACAATACGTGTAAGTTAAATTGGCACAGATTGTGGTATAATACACTGGGAAAATCATGAAAGCGCTTGCAGGAAGTGTGAACAGTTCGTCCTAAGCAAACAAAAATAAAGCACAAAAAATAAGGGGGCAATAAGCGCATTAGAAAGAAACTTTTTGCACAGCATTATGAATGTTATATACATACAAGAACGAAGCTGTGAACATGAAATTATCAACCAAAATGTAAGACCAATTTGTTGCGGAAAGAAACAGGGTTAGTGTCAGATACCAAGTTATCGGGAAGATCATTCCACAACGTGATGGCACGAGGCAAAGCGGATGCGTTAAAAGAGTTCGTTTTGCCGTACATACGCGAGAAACTAAGCCGGTTATGTAGTCTAGTTGATAAATAGGAGGGTCGTTCTATTGGAAGTCTGGTCATTTTAGTGCTATTGACGTATTTATGAAAGAGGCATAAAAGAGAAATGTTGCGGCGAGTGGATAATAATTGAAGTGAATAATCCATTATAAGTTGTGTTACGCTGCAGCAGAAATTATAATTGCGAGAAATGAATCGGACTGCCCTATTTTGAACTGCCTCGATCATGTTGGTTAAGTAATTTTGGTGGGGGGACCAGATTGGTGAGGCAAATTCAAGTTGAGGTCGAACAAAAGTTTCGTAAGCTAGTTTTCAAACGTTAGCGGGGGAGGAATGTAAGTTACGGCGTAGGTATCCCAGTGATCTCGAGGCATTTGCGCAGATGTTAGTGATGTGAGAGGACCATGAAAGATTTTGTGTGAAGTGTAGGCCCAAATATTTGTATGTGGAAACATGCGAGAGCGGGTCATTATTTATACGGTATGAAAAAATGGAGGGGTCATGCTTACGGCTAAACGAGATGGTTTTGCATTTTGATGCGTTTAGAACCATTTGCCACGTCTCACACCATTTCATAATTACATCAAGGTTTTTCTGTAGTGCGTAATGATCGTTAACATTTTTGATAGGGTGGTAGATTATGCAGTCATCGGCAAATAATCGTATGAATGATGTGACGCCATCAGGCAAGTCGTTTATAAATATAAGAAATAGCAGTGGGGCGAGCACGCTTCCCTGTGGCACCCCGGAAGTTACATCGCATATTGACGGCGAATCGTTATTGATGACAGTGAACTGTTTCCGGAGAGAAAGAAAATTTCGAAGCCATGATAAGGTTAGTGAGTCTAATTGAAGAGCAGATAGCTTTGAGATTAGGCGGCAGTGGGGCACACGGTCAAACGCTTTCGAAAAGTCAAGAAAAATGCAGTCTATTTGGAGGTTGTTATTCATGTTCGAGTGAAGGTCAGTCGTGAATTCTAGCAGTTGTGTCTCGCATGACCAACCTTTCCTAAACCCATGTTGGTTGCGGAAAAAGAACTGGTTAGACTCAAGATGGTTGTAAATGTGCGAAGCGATAATGTGTTCTAATAGCTTGCAGCAAATGGATGTAAGTGAGATTGGACGGTAATTTTGGGGTAGGTGTTGGTCTCCAGACTTGAACAATGGGGTAACTTTGCAACTTTCCAGTCGTCAGGTATCTGCCCAGACTCTAAAGATTGTTGAAAAATATAGCACAGAATGTTACTGGTAATGGAAATTGTGTTTTTTAGTACTTTTGAGTTAATATTATCAGCCCCAGCGGAGCTAGACAGCTTCAGCTTAGTTATCAGACATTCTATACCTTTAGCTGTAATTTCGATAGGTTTCATGTACTGGTAATCATAATCGGGCACGTTAGGTAATGTGGATTGGTCTTCCCGAGTAAACATTGAGGCAAAAAAAGTGTTAAAGCAGAACAACACTGGCTGTTAGAAAGAGGTTCGTGATTCTCATCATGTAAGGTAATGTGGTTAGCATCTCGATTGCGAGATATTTCACGCCAGAATTTTTTTGGGTTAGTTTTTAGGAGGGAGCCCAGGTCTGTTGAAAAATATTTAAGTTTAGCAGAACGTATAGCTGCGCAGTAGGTGTTTAAACACTGCTTATACTTATCCCACGCACTGGCTGTGCGCAGGCGTTTAGCATTTCGGTAGAGACGTTTCTTTTTATTTCTTAGTTGGTTGAGTGACTTAGCGAACCAGGCATTACACTTGTCATTAGATATCGAAATCAAAGGAATGTATTTATTAATCAAGACGGTCATTTTGTCACGGAAAAGTACCCAGTTGTCGTGGACCGAGCGATTGCTAAACGAGGTCAAGAATACCTGGTTAAAGAATATTTCAAGTTCATTGTTGATTTCGGCATAGTTAGCTTTATTATAGTCGCGAATTTTTTTAGTAGTTTTGCCGGAAAACGTTACAGGAAGATCAAGGGTTACTTCAAGAAGTCTGTGATCGCTAAGACCTTCTCGGTAGAGGACTTCCATGACTGTATCAGGGGCTGAGGTCAGTATTAAATTTAAAATATTATTTCCACGGGTGGGTTTATTGACCACCTGTACAAGATTAAAGTCAAGCGTTAGGCTGATAAACTGGGATGATATGTTACAAGGGGAGAATAGAAGGTTCCAATCAATCTGGGGAAGGTTGAAGTCTCCGAAAAGAAAGACAGTTTTAGTATGGCACAAGTTAATGGCAACAGTAATACTTTCCCTCAATTCAGCTATGAAACAACTATTGGAATCAGGAGGGCGGTAACAGTTTCCTATCAGAACGACGTTAGTAGGGCTTGTTTTGCAAGCAACCCAAATTATCTCAAGGGCCGATTTTGTGTCGACAACGTAAGAACAAATTGTTTTTCTGATGCCCAAAAGAACACCACCACCTCTTGGTGGTGGTGTTCTTCGTTCTAATAAATATAGTTCGACAATGAAAGTGCCAAGCAGTAAGGTATGCATGCCCTAATTTTATAAACATAAGTCCCTGCAGTTACACAAATATAGATGGATCCTTTGCTTGGTAAATGCCGAAGATTTAGGCACTCCACACACAGTTCCTATCGCATGCTTTGTGTTGATGTGTGAAAAATATTGAATGAACCAAATGATGAATCGCGCTTAACGTTGAATAAACATCCCCACCTGTTACATGCTTCTCGCCCTTCATGAGAACGGTAGGTGCGACGAAACACATTCGAAATTCGTTCAAGAAAGGCAATGTCACAAAGGGTTCTCAGGGTAAGTACGTTTCACATAGAAAACAAACAGGGATGGATGTTTGCAGCCTGGCAATCTATACACCGGCCGGCTCAGCACACAGGGCCGACAGGTTCGAGCCATAAAGATGATTGAGGAGTTGCTGCGAGGACCAAGTGCGCGATGCACCTTCGCCCTAAATGATTGATTGATTGATTGATTGATTGATTGATTGATTGATTGATTGATTGATTGATTGATTGATTGATATGTGGGTTTAAACGTCCCAAAACCACCATATGATTATGAGAGACGCCGTAGTGGAGGGCTACGGAAATTTCGACCACCTGGGGTTCTTTAACGTGCACCCAAATCTGAGTACACGGGCCTACAACATTTCCGCCTCCATCGGAAATGCAGCCTCCGCAGCCGGGATTGGAACCCGCGACCTGCGGGTCAGCAGCCGAGTACCTTAGCCACTAGACCACCGCGGCGGGGCTTTCGCCCTAAAAGTAGCTATGGTTTCTGTATATGTATTCCTACATTGTCGGTCACCCGTAATCAATTAAGGCCACCTGCCACAAGAACTCGTCAGCATTTTGTTGGAGAAGACGTTATAGTCTGATATTGTACTCTGCCACGACGTCTCCACGCGTTCATCAATGCAGTTATAACTGAAAAACAAAAATATGCGTACCATGAGTGAAGAAAAATTAAAGACAGAACAGAAAAGCGTCTTTTTCCGTTCTGTCCGTTATTTTTCTTCCTTAATGGTACGCGTCTTGTATTTCGGTAAGCATGTACCAACTAGTCCAACAGAAAGCTTTAAGATGCAGTTATTCTCTACTCCCAGCGTACGTCACTAGTGATTACCAGTGTGGAAAATGTAGTAAACAGTGAGTTCCCACACTAACTACGGCTCTCAGCATAGGCGTCGCAAGTTTTACCAAAAAC